AGCGTTCTGACCAGCTGTCTCACTGTGTGGTGCGGAGGCTGCAGCACCTCAGACTGGAAGAAAGTGAGCACGGTGCTGAGAACAGGAGAGAAGCTCATCGGGGCTCCTCTTCCCTCCATAAAAGACATTTCATCCCAGCGCTGCATGTCCCCCAAATGACCCCTCACACCCCCACCATGGACTGTTCTCCCTGCTGCCTTCTGGGAAGAGACTTCGAAGCATTGGATGCAGGTCCAGCAGCTTCCATAACAGTTTCTTCCCCACTGCCATCAGACTGCTGAATGTTATGTAAAATTGGTTCTTTTATTTTCATTAAAAAATATATATGTTAGAACTGTAAATATACAGTCATATGTTTATATCAATATTTTTTATGTATTTATTACTGTTTTCAAGGCTGCACTTTAAAATATGAAATTGCCTAGAGCTGTTCTAAATGAAATTTCTTTTTGTTTACACTCGTGTATACAAAATGACAAAGTAAATCTGTCTAAGTCTAATTCTAAGAAGGGCCATGACCCTGAAACCTGCAAAATAGTTACAAAGGTGACAGATTTTATCTTAGGATGTGGGCTGAGCTGAAAGCTTTCTTTTAAATAAACCCAACACCCACAGTCTTTATTGCATCAAATCTTTTTAAAACTCTGAAATTATGATATTATCTCCCATTTCACAATCTGTTTACTAATAAGAATTTAGATCTCTGTAGTGCTGGACTTTATTGTTACACTTCATAGCTAATAGAGTATTCTTTTTCTATGCAGAATAGTGCAAATAGTGAGATAATGACTGCTTATTACGGGGGAGCATACTTCCTCACTACCCCTCTTTAAACTCTGCCTACCCTGAGGAGAAGTTACATAGTGCCTGCTTTCTCATGTGGTGGGACATTGCTTCCCCATGGACATTAATGATATGTAAAATTCCACAGAAGTAGTAATTTTTATTACTTTTTATTGTGTGTGGAAAAAGATAAAGATCTCAAATGGAGTGAGCGAGAAAAGCCTGACCTCAATGTTTAACTGGCAGGAAGCTTGCAGGGGTTTATGCAGTGATAACCAACAGGCAACCCTACAGCCTGAGGAACAGCTAGAATAATGAATGAGTAATGAATAATAGAGGAATAATGAAGAATAATGGCTCTTTGTTAAAATACACGATTGTGGAAACACAATCGGATGTGCACACTCCTGAGAGCAGCTCATTTTACAGGATTACCATTTGTCTTTCTCTTCTAAACAGCATGGTTCCACTCTCACCTGTGGTGTCCTGTTCAGCTCTTTTCCAACACGGGATGGAAACAACTTTAATTTTTCTCTTTTATCCTTATTTTTAGAAGCAATAGTGTTTATTTGAAAATTCTCATTTAAGGTATTTGTTTATAACTTAAGATGTTTACTTAAAGGATGTTAAAGTGATGTTTCATTTGCTCCAAGGTCAATAGAAAGTTACAGTGAGGTAGTAGGAAAGGCCACGGCTGCAGCAAAAAAAAGGAAATTGTGGGTGTAAGCATAAAAAAGGTTCACAGTGCAATCGACAGAAGTAATGGAAACAGTTTTACAGTAAACAACTACTGCTTCAAAAACGTGCCTAAATAAAGCTTTACCGATTTCAATGGAATTTTATGTGACATACAAACAGAATGTGATCCACAATTGGAAGTCAAATTACACATGGGTTTCTGTAAGTTTTTGAAAACATAAAAGGAATAAAATAAAGAAAACCTTTGCATTTACTTTAGTTCATGTGCATTGGATTCAATCTCACTATACTTTAGCTGTTCAATGCAGACCTATGAGGTTTGTCAGAGATTAGCTAAAACAGCATGAAAAAGAGAAAGGAAAAATCAGGAAAGGAGAAGACATGTTTGGAGAAGTTCAGGGCAGTTTCTGCTTTATAACAATCTTCAAAACGTTGTTCATACTTTTGTGCTCATAGAGCCGTAAAGAGTATGGAACAATTGCAAAACCATGGCCTTTCAGCCAAGCTAAAGGAATTGCACAAAGGTCAATGGTATCTCTTGTCTAAATGTAAAATATGCATTTTTTTCATATTATTATTTGCAAGAAGTTCAGATTAATATCTTTGATAGGCTTCCTGCTAAAGAAAAGCTGCTTCACAGCATCGTCTTTTGCATGTATAGTTTGCCCCGTAAAGGACTGATATTGATCTCCCCTTTCCAGAATACCTGAAATTACCTGATATTACCTGAGACCTTAAATAACACTCAGTTTTATATCTATTAAAGCAACTAGAGAACTAAAGCCCTGGTTTATAGTGGCTTAGTGGTTTCTGTGTACAGGGAGATAAATAGATATTCACACTTTACTTTTACCATTCCTTTCCGTTATGCGCTACCTTTTGGTTCTCCACCACACACCCGCCCCCACAATACATTCAACTTTGTGGCTGTTGTTTTAAAAAAAAGAAATCTAGGTTTCATGCATACCCTGTCAACGAACTGCAGACTGTTTCAAGCAAAGAAGTGCTTTGAAGATTCAAACTGAGTCACAAAAACATAAAAGTAACTGAGCTATTTTAGGTTCTGATTAGGATGGTCAAAGGATAATAGAGATCATGTCTATTACTCTGCAACAAATTATTTCAAAGACTTAAACACCCTTAATACTAGAAAGGAAATGCACATATAAACATAGCTCCAGTAGTTTCATGTTGAAGTCTTTAAGTTGGAAATCATGTACAACAGTTCACAGAGAACCATTTTTTTGTGGTTTGAGGGTTGTTTTTCTCATGTTCTGAACAAAACCATAAAAACCTACGTGCAATGCATGAGCAAACATTGTAAAGTGGTGCAGCTTCTAATGACCTGTTCTCTTTAGTTTAACCTACTTAAGAAGATTTGAAATGAGTCGAATCTTAGAAGAAAAGCAAACAAGTGCTCAGTACAATGTAACAAACCTAAAAGTCATTGAGTTAACATACATTAAACTAACTTTTAACACTGTTGGTGTTAAAAGTTAGTATAAAAGACCCAAATAAATATGAACTTATTTGGGTCTTTTGCCACTGTGTGTTATGAAACCTATATCTGTCTTTGGACACTATCTGTAAGTTTGTTTTAGCAACACTTTACTGATGCAAGACAAACCACTTCCTTTATTGTAGGAACATTACAATATGACAGTCACTAACATCTAGGGCAGTTCCTCTGATAATTACACCTTTTATTATATTTAGCTAGTTCTGCATGATTCTTCTTTTTTTTTACAGAGTAAGAGAGATATTTCCCTAACTACTTCACTGCAATATTTACATCTTTCAACAACATGATACCTTAAATAGAAGATCTTCATAGTCTGGTTGAATATATTCCTGCTGCATAAACCAAAAGGGTTTGAAGTTAATGTTATTGACAGACTTTTGGGATTTCTGCTAAAGAACAGGAATGATGATTCCATCAATAACAACAAGATGTTGGTCTGAGTTCTTTTGGGATGAGCTGTTGATGTCATTGTCATAAACGGACAAATTAGGACTTTAGAAATGGCTTTGTAACCCTTCCAGACTAGATGTCAATAATTGATTTTTGAGATCTTTTATTCTGCTTCATGTTGCAAGACAGGTCCTGCTTAGCTAGTTTCTTAAAACTGGTTTTTGCAGTAAGGTGTAGTTTTTAATATCCAACAAAGGTTCCAGTAAAAACCTTAATTACAGGTAATTTGGGATTTTTAACATAGAGGGAGATAAATGTTTTGGGACGAGATAATTTAAAAACAGCTTTTTTCAGCGTATAAGATCTTCTAAAATTACAAAAGTTTGGTTTACAATTCATTTCAGTTTATTTAAATTTCACCAATTTACAAAACATGTAATCTCGATGCACTTTTCAGATCATACGATCAGATTGGTTCCAAGTTTTCTTAGGAAAACCAGCTGATTGCACTGACTCGAAGTCAATCCCTCACACCTAGCATGCTTGTAGAGACAGTAGAGAGGAAAACTCCATTTTAAAAAGAAGAAACCTCCAGCAGAACCAAGCTCAGTGTGAGCGGCCATCTGCCGAGCCCAACTGAGGTTCAAGGAGAAAGAAGCAGACATGCAGAAAGAAGAAAGATACTAAAGGTAACTGTCAACCAGCTTCACGGGCGGCTCCGTCCAGGAAACACACAGAATGCAGACAAGCTCCAAGCCGTCTTCCACAGAGCACAAGTTAGTTACAATCAGAGAAACAGGACTGCACAGAAAACAGGCCGAGCTTGAACATCTATAGACAAAGGCGTTGATGGCAGCAGCAAAGCTGATATTTCTCTGCAGGATGGAGTCACAGCCAAACAGGAACACATCAGATGAAGCTACTATGATAAAAATACTGAATTAGCAAATACTGTGAAATGGGAAATTAACTTTTTTCACAGTTATATACATAACAGATGTTAAGAAAATATATTTTTAAAAACTGTGCTAAAAGTTCCTGAATGTTTGAGAAAGTGCAGACCCAAAGGCAGTCGCCCTGCAAATGCACATCCATTCTGAATATTCTGGATTGGAATTTTTTGTTTTTGTGTAGAGGCGTTTAAAATCCAGTTTACTCGTGGCAGCCAGTAAGCAGCTGCCTCAGGTGATTGCTCTAACCAGCTACTTGCCAGCTACAATCTGAACTCCCATCTCAGCCTGAGGGGACTTCTGTCAGAGACTTTGAGACCAAATGTGATCAGCGTCTGATACACTTGTCTGCCAGCTTTTAAAAACAAAAAAAAAATGCAATAAAAGATGGTTGAAAAAATAAAAACTGTTCCTTCTGCAGGTTATAACTAATTGGCAGATTTTAAATGTTACAAACTGGCAACTATATTGTGTTTTTCTAAAAAGTCTCGTCACTGCACATGGAAATCACCTGCTACTGTTTTGCTCCCTTTGTGGAAACTTGCATTGTTAATCATTGTATTGTTTTAATACTTTTTTATAAAGGGAACTTAATACTTCTCTTCTGATAGTTTCCCTGTCTCAAACTTCCTCCTGCCACACCAGGATTTGGAGTACAGGTATAATTCAGTGTTGGGCATCACACACAGATGAAACAGCAGCATATTTATCAAATACAACATGCTTCTTGGCTCGGTTCTATTTCTTTCTCTGTGTATGATCACAGGTAAGCAAAATGTTTATGGTTTACACAAGTAAGGTAGAAAAGGAGACTGGCTGAGACTGTTTTGGTTCTTTCTAACCTGTATTTGGTTTTTTTTCAGTCAAATCCCAGCAACTAACTTCCAGTACCACATCCATGCCAAGTACCATGACTAGATTGCCCACGACTACAACAGCAGGTAGGACAGAGTTGGATTTTGCCTTTGGCTAATTTTAAACACAACATAGCTCTAAAGCGTAAACTGATCTTCTAAGATTTAGAGCCGCTGAGATTTGTTGGGAGTATTATCAATAACTAGGAATGTTGGAAAGCTTCCCTTTGATGGACAACCTAATCATGAATGTTTTTTGAGAAATTAGGAATCTTTTTTGTTTTTTTCTGGAAAACTGACTATGAAGTTTTTGTTTTTTTAAATCACTTTTTGCTATTTAATTTGAAGAGGTGATGTTGTTTTCATATTGAATTTTAATCATCTTTATTTTTCATTTGCAGCATCTGAACTTGTTTAATTCAAATATGAGTTAGCTCATGCTGAACTGACTCAGCAGTTTCATCTTTGCTTGATTTATTAAAAATATTTCTAAATCAAACTTTGAAATTAACAAAATTCTAAAAAAAAAAAAAAAAAGCGATGAAATAGTAAAATAATCTGTTTTTGATGTTGAATAGAAGTTAGTTAAGGTTTCTCATAGGAAGGATTGCAAACAAACTCAAAATTGGATTCAAGTTTATGACTTTAATTAGAAAATTAGAAGGTCTTAGATCAACCAGACATGACTTTAAATCTTGGTTCTTAATGGGGTTGCATGATATCAAGGAAACATGAGATAATGTTGTTAAATGTTACAGTGATGATATGTTACAATAAATCAACAACTTCACAAAATATTACAGCAGTATTGTTCTTCTTTGTATTTATTGTAGAATGTAAGCAAAGCATGAAAATAGTCTAGCCCTTAGACTTGCTAAAGAAGGCACATTATTATATTATTTACAGTTCAACCACATGGTTTTGATAAACATATTGCATGCAAGTACATCCACTCTATTGGCATAGATAGTATAGCTTCTTTATGGTTTCATAGATAGATAGATAAGTAAACTTATAAAACTATTAGATGTGCTCAATGTGCATGAACTTGACTTTTTCACCAGTTTGATAACCTACTGTAACAGACAAAAATCTTTAGTGCTTTCAGATTATACAAGGTGATTTTTCACAGACCATTCTATACAAACCAACTAAATTTGGTGTTTGAAGTGTAGGTCAGACACAGAGCTGCTTTGACTTTTTTGTAAAATACTGCAAATATCTTTTCAAAATAGGACTGATAAAAAAATCCTTAAGGATAGGCTTCTCTAAAAATGAAATATACCATACTTTAAGCTGTAGAAACCAGCAAGGTGGGTTTTGACAAAATATATTACAGTTACAAATGAAATTGCTTAAAAAATAAAAATAAAAAAAAACACAGCTATTGTGAAGCATACCATAAAAGTCCTCTACACATCCTATCTTCTGTATTTGTTTCTCTCCACCATAGTTCCAACAACACGGATGATGGATGTGCTGCACCTTGAAGCCATACCCGACTACCCAGTAGCTGCTGGTCAAACAGTCCAACTGAGCTGCAAAAACATCTCATCAAAAATCATAACCTGGTCCAGGTTCCACCTTCAAAATCAGAGCTGGGAAAATGTGGGTTCAGGTATGGTTCTGACTCTCACTGAGCCAAAACAAAGTGGAAAGTACCGGTGTGAGACCCACAATGTTTTCAACGTGAAGAGCATGAGCCAGAATCATACTGTGTACATCGTCTCCATACCAACAATCGGTCAGTTTTTTCCATCATCTAAATGCCTTACGTTTATTATAGCCAGATATTTTATAGTAACACTTGGGGCCTGATCTTAGGAGCGCTAAATTGCATAGTCAGATTCTAAAGTTGGCCCGTGCAGAAAGTTTGTGTGTTGTGGGTGATCTGCAATGGTTGCAAATAAGAAAATAAGATGTGAAAACTGGCAGGCAGCGTGAATTTGCTAACTATTTGAAAAAGTCATAATATTTATAATATTAAAAATGATTTATAGTGCACTTCACGTGAGTATCTCAATGTGATACAAATGAAAATAAAAAAAACTGATGAAAATAACAAAATATAAAAGAGAAAATGTCTTTGTCTGCTTAACTAATACCCCTGGAACAAGCAGTTCCTCACTAAGCCTGTTGGCGGCAGCAGTGATACCATCATGTTGAATTTCCTACTTTTAACGCTGATTAATTAATCAAAACCGATTTAAAAAATTCAGCAAAAAATCATTCACAACAATATACTACCAATAAAGAGGACTAATACAGAATGTTTGCTCTTTTATGAATTATTTTTTATGTTTTATAGGCGAGAGTTGGTTTCTGCATTCATCAAGGAGTATTCTCTAAAGATAAAGAACATTGCTCAATCCATTTAATGTATGAATTATGTAGAACTATACATTCATTGAAAATGCACCAAGGTATAAATATGCACATTATCAGGAAGGTCTCTAATGAAAATCTGGTCTGTCTTCAGTGATTAATTTTGAAAATATAGATGTTGTGCATGTTCATTTTCTTCTTGGCTTATTGTGATCAATATAGATTGACCATAAGATGTTTTTGGTGCCTATCAGTTTTTTAGCCACCTCTCAGTTTGCATTGGCCCCTGCCTGACCACCCATATGAACATTTTCTGGAATCAATCAAACCAAACCATTGAAACTAACTAAATTCACCTGAATATAAATAGTAACAAAACCCTCTGCCAAATAAACCTGTCGATATATACAGCCAGAGAAGTGACATCAATTTATGTAGATTGTCTGAAAAGCGGTATGAAGAAGTAAAAACTTAAGAAATCCTAACCTTTAACTACAATCTTTAGATTTTAAAGGTTGCAGATTCCTGCTCTGAACAGATTTACCTCCATCAACTCCTCATAGCAGATGCTTGACCCCATATGCTGCAAACAAGGTAGACCCATAATAATCTAATATCAACCATAACAGTGTTACCCCATAACTTAATTTGGGGAAAAAATCATTTTGCTACAAGTTAGAGACGCACAGAGCCCCCCAAACGAGTGTCCTCTTCACAGGTGTTAAATATATTCCATGATCCATCACATGACCCAAGGACATGCTGCTGTTGATTCTCCTCACCAACCTTCTATCTGCTAATTAAGTTCACAGGACTCATACCTAACCCAAAAGAAGTCTATAGTCAAATACAAGCAGCGCTCCCTAGGAGGGTCAGGATATTTGAATGATGTAGATGTTTTTCTCTACATCATTATTCTACTAATGTTATTTCTGACTTTTCATATATGCTTTCATGTGCAGAAACTTTCTCCATCATCTGTCATTGTAACAATCCCTCCTTTAAAGCCACAGTGACTGCAGAAAGTTTTTGCACTTAATGCAAAAAATGCACCTGGATTTTAGTGAAAAGCAGTAAATATAGATTAAAAACCTGCATCCCTTAACGAGCTTAAGTTGAAAAACCACTTTGCATGTGGTGAGTAGTTACATTTTCACATCCTCCACCCATGGATATTCATAGTTTGGTCATAAGAAGATGTTCTGCATATTAGTAAAGGCCAACATGCAAATAATACTTCACACATTTAGGCTAAATTGCTCTCTTCGCATAGTCTAGTGGGAAAAAATATTCAACTATTTACCCCAGTTAAATAAACAAAGATCGATGGATTTCACTCAGTCTGCACTTTATTTTCATATCTTTGCAAAGAGAGAACAGTTCATCATACGGCCCTTATGCAACAGTAATCTGCCCTGTTCTAATTTAGACAGAGTTTGCCTCCCTTACTCAAAATGAAAGAAAATAAGTGAAGGTTGTGTCAGCGTCAAAACAACTTTGGTTAAACAATAACAATTCTTGAGAAAGAATTTGGCTTGTTATTGGATAAGTTTTCCTTGTATGCAAAACACTTCTCACTCAGACAGTACTAAATATGAGACAAGAGAAATCTGCATTTTCCGACCACAATCCTCTAGAAACACCTCTTCTGTCTGTGCAAACGAGTTGGGACATGTTTTGATTACCGTAACACCAATCCTTAACTCGAACAGCTGTTCTGGAAGCAGTTCAATGACGTTTAACTGCAGGAATGTAAAGAAAAAGGAACTTTGAAAATGACAGGAGTATCTCAAAATATGTATTAAATTAACTTAGTGTTTAGTTTTACGTAGGTTAAAAAGGTTAAACTTCTTGGGTCAAATTTATATGGCGCTATTTAGTCTTTTTTGGTTGATTTTTAGGTTCAGTTTCTTAGCAATAATCTTCCCCTTAAAAGAGATAAGATCACATAACTATTTCAGGTATTTACCTGCAATAACCTAACTAACTTTATCCTATCGTGTGCTTTCAGGCGGTAATAAAAAGGAAAATTTTCAGGTGGAAAAACTTTCAAACAAATAGAAAAGTAAAACAGTTTTGAACAAAGAAAAAAAAAAAGCTTTTAGTCTATCTGTTGTTTATAGGTTACAGTTGTTACAGTGATAAAAAAAACTATATACATCTAGAGTTTCTTTGCTAACCTGTTCATCTATATGCATTTAAAACTTTGGGTTATGCATATATTACTTAAGTTATTTCAATTGCCCTTTCTTAAACTTTTAAAATCTAACATAATTCCTGCTGTTCAGTATAACCACAGATGTAGTTCTCCTCGTTGCTGTTTTCTAGATAATATACAGTAGTTTTCTTCAGCGTGTGAGCTTCTGTATGCTTTCTGTACTGAGCAACCTTAGGGAAGTCTTTGGCTATTTTATGTCTTCCTTTGGGCGGTGTGTTTAGGAATCCAGCCAAAATGTTGCACACTGTTTGAAGTGGTGCACTTAAATCACATCAGACCTTTAACCTCAGAGCATCATTTATTTAAAAAAAAAAAAACTTTGCTTAAATTTTGTCAAGAGGTGCTTTTATATACAGTATAAAATGCTTTTGTTTTAACAGGAAAAATGCAAAGCTACTTAGAAGAACTTCTAAAAAAAAAATTCAGATTGTCAGTAAGCACGCATCAATTTTTTCAATATATTTATTTACATTGTCATGGAAAAACCATTTATCTTTACTGTAACATTTAACATGAGCAAGTCGAGGTAAAGTATTCATTACAGATGTAAACAATTTATAAATTTACGCATTGCATGCTATGGTTTAATGGTTGATAAGCTCACACTAACCCAACACTAGAATTATCTGTAATGTAGCATCACACTGACAACAATAATACAAACACAATATTTAGATTATAAAAAAGCTTAACCACTGTATTTACTTTATTTGCATATTTATTTAGAATTTCCACCAGTTCAAAGATGGTGAATCCACAAATGTTATGTCTGTAGTAATACAAACACTTGCTTAACTGAAGTGTTATGCATAATCAGTCTTTCATACAAATTTACTCATGTTAAGATATATCACAGCAAGTTACAAACTGAACCGCTTTTCCTCTGGTTTTCCATTCCCATTTGCTTCCTTCATTTTCCAGAATAGAATAGAATAGAATAGAATAGATACTGTAATACCTTTAATGTCCCACTGTGGGGAAATTCTGGTGTTTACAGCAGCAAAAAGTTTATTGAAAAAAATGGTCACAAAAATGTGGACCTTAGAAGAGCGTAGAGAGAGTGTTCTTCACTGGTTTATATCTACATTCATACATCTATAAAGATATGCATACACTTATGTCTATATACAACCACAAATGTTGATTATTTAGACACCTACAGAGACATATACAAATAAAATTATTTTTAAAAAGTGTGATGAGGGGTGGGACGTAAGTTACTATGACTTCAGTGACAACAAAATGTTAATTCACCTGTTAAGCTCTGCTTCAAAAAGGAAGTCCTTCAGTTGGAATTTGAAGGCCTAGATACAGTATGTTAATTTCTGTTAATTTCTGTTTACTCTTAAAAGTTATGTCTCTATATTTTAGTCCCAGATCGGTTATGTGGCATGAAAACAATTTAATTTTATATCCTGAAATAAATTATAATCAGCTAATGTTTCTAATAATGCAGTACTTGATGTCACGGGTTCTGTTAACTAAATCAGGACATCATCTGCTACAACTGATGTCATTAGTAGCCATACAGATCTGTTGCCTTTTAAATTATGGATGTTTACTTGGATTGAATGTGGTTCTACTGCTAATGCAAACATCAAGGATGAGAGACTACAAACTTGCCTTGTGGAGCATTAAAAGATAATTTTACAAGAGATATAATTATTTCTTGTAATTTAAGCTGTAAGAATCATTGTGTAACATCTTAGCAAATTTGCAGAAGTGAAGGGAAAAGTCATTCTATTTATTATGTCAGTGAGAAAAGGAATTTTTATACAGCTAAAAGCTTTCTCTCCATCAAGAGATATTGCTATGGTTGGTGAATCATATGTTCCAAACATATGATGATGCCAAAAAAAAAAAAACGTTCTGACATGAAATGGAGAGAAATTCTAAATAAACTCTCTTTGGTTTCTATTAATTATATCTGGGATGTTTTTTCACTAATTGTAATGTGCTTTCTCATTTTCTATGGTCCTTCTGCTGCACAGTCATACCAAAAAGGTCCTGTCAAATTGACTCTACTGAAATGTTTGGATATGGCGAAAGCAAAAGCCGAGCACCTCCCTTTGCAACAGGGATTTTTCTCCACCCTTGATTTAATAAAGCATAACTGTGCTTCATGCATGGCTTTATTTTATTTTACTTTATTCATAGCACTTTGGGGCCTTTATGGTGCTTTGCAAATATTTTTTTTGTATTATCATTATTAATATTTTTCTATAATGTTCAGTTTTACCTCCATCATCATGACTTTGAACATCATCTTTCTTACCAGTCACTGTGAAACTGCCTGTAAAACATGCAATCTGTTATTTTTAATAGGCGGAAAGAAATTGTTTTGCACATCTTAACATTTGTAGATCACCCACAACATACCCACTTAATGCACATACTTAAAAAATGTACATACAATTTAGCTGTCTTATGTTTTTAATGTTCTTTTCCAAAACTTTTGTCTCAAGGACTTTCTACCACTTTAAATGTTTCGAGAAAGACTGACTTGAAATTAAATGGTCAAAAAATCTAGTGCCTATAATCAACAGCCCAAAGAGAACTGTAAGCCAACTCAGAGGGAGTGGGCTGTAATGGGCTCAGTCCATCAAGGGCATCCATAAAACTTGCATAATAGATATTCAGGACATTGGCTTCACCCCAAGACAACAAAAATGTGTTTTTTATAGATTGAAGTAAATTTTGATCTCCAACATCGAAATCAGGTTTTTAGAGGAGAAATAAAATCCTTTTAAAGTCTGAATTAAAATGTGTTTGAATTGTATTATTTGAGCTGATTTAATTTAGATTTAGCACCATAAATATTCATTGTAATTATATTTAGTGATTGTTACACCTAAAAGGTCTGAAGATCTAAACCATGCAGGTCAACTTACTGTCTGTTTTCATATAAACTATATTACCAAGAGTATTTGCTCATCTGTCTTGTCTCAGATATGAGTGACATCCCAGTCCTAAGTCATTGGAGCTTAATATGTTGTCTGTCCACCCATTTCAGCAGCTCTAACTCATCTGGGAAGGTTGTCCAAACGTTAACTTTTCACCATTATTCCATAAAGCACATTTGTGAGGTCACACACTGATGTTGGAAAGGAAGGCCTCTCACTCTCCACTCTAATTCATCCCAAAGGCATTCTCTCAGGTTAAGGTCAGGACTCTGCACAGACCTGTCAAGTTCATCCAGACCCTGTCTTTAGGTGCCTTGCTTTGTTCTCTGGTCAATAGTCTTGGAAGAGGAAGGGCCCAGCTCCAAACCATTCCCACAAATTTGGGAGAAATTAATTGTCCAGAAAATCTCGGGGTGCTGAAGCATTCAGAGATCCTTTCACTGGAAGTAAGGGGACAAGCCCAGCTCATGAAAAGCAACTCCACTCCATGATCCTACCCAGTAGTCTAGTTGTAAAAAAAAAAAAAAAAAAAAAAAAAAAAAAGAAGGGGGATGGTGGAATTTTTTTCAATTCAGTTCTATTCAATTCAATTTCAATTCAGTTTATTTATATAGCGCCAAATGCACAACACATGTAATCTCAAGGCACTTTACAGTTCAAGCAGATCATACAGTCTCTTCCTTACATACTGTAAGGAAGAGTTTTTGGAAGCATGCATAGCCCAATTAATATAATCCATTTACCTAAAGCAATATGCATGGTATGGCTATTACATGTCAGGTACTCCAGTCATCGACCTTGACCAAGGCACCTTACAGTAGAAATGCAGTTAGTCCATGGACTGGCATGGCTATCACTGCCCCACATACTGTAGTTAGGGACAAACGCAGAGGAAAAAAGTCCCACTGGGATCAGCTTCATGGTCGTGGTAGGTCACATCTGATTTTTAGATGAAGAAGTGTGATTCATCACTCCAGAGAATGTATCTCCTCTGCTCTGAGGTGGAATGGCAGAATGCTTTACACCTCTGCATCCAGCACACTTCATTACACCTGGTGATATATGACTTGGATGCAGCTGCTCGACCATAGAAACCCATTCTATGAAGCTCTCTGGTCTAGAGCTAATCTAAATTCCACATGGGGTTTGGAGGAGTGGAGTAATTAACTAGGCAAAACGTTGCTGACCCCTTGCACTATGCATTTTAGCATCCACTGACCCTTGCTCTGTCAGTTTATGTAGCCTACTACTTCAGGACTGAGTTGCTGTCGTTACCAAGCCCTTCCATTTTCAGTTAGTAGAGAGGGAATTTCACGACTGGATTTGTTGCACAGATAGCATTGTATCACATTTCCATGCTGGAATTCACTGAACTCCTGAGGGCAACCCATTCTTTCACAAATCTTTGTAACAACAGTCTGCCTGCTTAGGTGCTGGATTTTGCCACAGAAGTGATTGGAACACCTGATTCCATTAATTTGTATGGGTGAGCAAATACTTTTGGCAATATAGTATATGTTGTTGTTGTAACATCAAAGTCTTCCATCATCCTAATTTGCTTTTTCCCTCATCTTGCTGCTATAGGAGAGAACTTAGGAAAAGCAGCATTTGCTCTTTCTGTTCTAATTTGGATTGTCATCATTGCTGGTGTTGTGTGGCTGTGTTGGCAAAGATTTTCTAACAAACTGAGCGCCTTGAACGCGCCAAAGAAAGGTAAAGAGAGCTGCTATCCACTTCTTATTGAGTGCAATTATAATTTAAATCATATCTGAAAGTTTTAAATGTGATCACTTTCTATTAGATCTTCCTGCTCCACCAGAAGGGATTCCAAAGTGAGTCTTTTACCTGTACTTATGCCACATGCTGTATGGGTAAACTGTGCCCTGTATGCAGACTAATTAAAAATGTGCTTTCTCCAGGATTTTGCCACCAAACAATGATTCTGATGCAGATGTGTACATGAACTACACAAGCACTAAGGAAGACTACAGTAACCTTGATCCTTCCAACATGACAGGGGATGAGTTTTACTCAACTCTGTCATAAATAATGACATGACCTGTTCTGGCAGCCTTTAAGTGATTTTGCTTTGATTGACATGCACATCCTTCCAGCACTGCAGGGATTTACCCATATCATGATTTCAGTTAGTTTGAATCTACATTTTTTAACAAATCTTTCTGTAGTTTCTGTCCGGGTTGTAGAAAAACATTTGTGCTTTGGTCTTAGTTGCATGAACAGACATCTGTTATGTTTGAAATGTTTTAAAGGCACTATTTATCTTAAAGACTAAAAAAACATATCAGAGTAAAAAGAAAAGTTTATTAAGCAATGTGTATGTTTTTTTAAGATCCCTTTCACTCTGTACTGAATTTACAATAACACTAAACAAACATTTGAATACAATTTTAATGAATTCAAGAAGGGCTAAAGCGACAAATCACAGTATTTACAACAAACCCTGAGTATTCTTGTAAATGTAAACAGAGTTGTAAAAAAAACAATCAATTCTTTCAAATTTGTTCATTTTTTTGCTTTTTTCACACAATCCATTTCATTTCAGGATGATATACGTAACAAAAGATTAGAAGATAACTTGAGTGACAAAAGAAGGTAGTTTCCAAATGGGGCTTTCATTTATTAAAGATTAAAAAAAAAAGCTGGTTTGGCCTTATATAAAAACATAAGTATATTGTTTTATTATTTTATTTAGATTTTTTGTATTTTAGTATGAGTACAGCACATCATGCCCACGTCAGACAATGAAAAAACAAAGTTAGCAATGTAAAGTGCGTAGGTTTGGAAATGAAAATGTGTCAAAGGTGTTAAGACTCAACAACATTTCTGCTGAACCCTTATCAGTGGTGATCAGCTTCCCAGAAGAGGCTGTCTACCTACATAACTGCTCATGCCACATGCTCAAACAACACCTGGGCACTGCTGGCCTCACTTGCCTGAAATTTAAAGCTTAAGTTTCCAGTTTAAATAAATGGTAGTAAATGTATGCAACAATGATTCTGGATCCTGATAGTGTCCAAACATCAGTTTGTGATCATGAGTTCCATTTAAGGAAGGTTATGGAGCAGGATGATCACCCATAGCACACCAGAAGTTCACTAATGAATGGCTCTCTAAAAAAAGAAAAAATAAATACATTTTTGAAAGGTTTTCTAGTTGCATAGTCAAAGCATGGACTGAAATCAAACAGGCCATTCATGTTCAAAAACCTTTTAGTGTGGCTGAATTAAAACAATGCTGTAAGGAAGAGTAATCCAAAATTCCTCTACGGTGATGTTAAACACCCATTACAAGTTACTAAAAATGGATGATGATGATGATATCGCAACCAAGGGTGGCAAAACTGGTTTCTAGTTTTAGAATCAGTTTGGTCTTGATAGATTTATTCCTACAATTTGCTTTTTGTATTAAATTAAGATATCTTTGGAGATACATTTGTTTGACAATCTGGAGCAAGTAAGTGGGACAAAAAGCGAAAACAGAACAAATCAGTGGATGAAAAGAAAATGGATTTATCTGCTTAAAAGATCTACCTATGTTCTAAAAATCATCCACACCTTGGTTTTTGGTATTTTTTTCACATAAGCATCAAGATTATGAAGAAAAATACTGTTGATCACAGAAATAGTTATCTAAAAATAACATTTTAAAATGTTCACTTTTTTTATGCCCTTCTGTTTAAAAAAAACAACTTCTCCTTTTACTTTGAAACAGGAAGAGCAGAAATATGAAGCAATTCACGGTTCTGCTCCTTTTATGGAAGCAGCAGCTAAACATTGTTTTTCATAGACTCTTACTGACATGGTGACTTGGCAAACTAACTATTAGCAGAAGAATTTTCCAATTTTATTATGTTACACAACCTTTCTTTATTTTAGCAGGATTTCATAAGACAGATCACTACAGAGCAGTGCATAACACTACATTAATGAAAAGTTTGAACTCTCTGATGCTCCTTTATAAAATATAGTGCAAACAGCTTTCAGAAGCCTATGTGCTGCAGATAGTCTTCTCTTGTGTAATTTATTTCATATGCAAATCCAGCTTTTCTGTCAAGGCTTCAGAGGTTCGTTAGAGAAAATGTGAAATATCAAGAGCAGTGCAGACAGGTGGTGGAGAAGATCACTAAGGCTAGGAAATGGAAAGAGTACAACAAAACTCCAGACCTACCAAGACATAGTTGTACGCTAAATCTAAGAGGTAGGTCCAGGAGAACATTAACCAGAGAAGCAGTCAATATATTTATATTAAGTCTACAGCAGACACAGAGGGAAGGTTATTCATGCTCTACACTAAAATACCATGAAAAATTCAATTTTTAGAAGTGTGTTTAAGATTTCCTGTTTCCAGTTTGTCACAAGCCATGAAGAGGAATTGCAAACACGTTATAGAAGGTACTCTTGTGGCTGCGCTGCACTTTCGCAGCTGATTAAAGCAGCTGTGGTCAGTCAAAGTTGTGTTACTAACTGTATAGATGTGGTAGCACTGACCGCTTTTCTAATTTATGCAGCTGTTCTATATTTGCGGCTCACCAGACCAAACCAACATTAATCAGGCACATTACAGATCCTTTGGAGACGAAGTCAGTTGATGGAAGAAAAGCGCATATGATCGTATTTACAAGTAAAAGAATCACTACAAGCTTTGGATGTGAATTCCTGGGCTTTTATGTAATAATTTCTGTTTGCATAGTTCACCAACAACCACACAATGTATATGAGTTTGGAATTTAAAACATAATTAAAAAAATAAATAAATAAATATCTGAGCTCATTTAACCAGGATATGTCCAAAACAAAAAGATAGATAAATACCAACCAGGCAGAGGTGATCTGCACTAAAACACTTACAGTAGAATATGGTGCCTGGTAGAATAGATAGCGCTACTGCTCTGCTTTCACATTCATTGTAACGGAAGAATGACACTTTTTGATAATCCATTTACCATTTTGGCAAAAAAAATTATTAATGGATTCAGAAGGCCAATACCAATATTGATCAGGAACTTTAAAAACAATTATATCTGATACATTGGCCAGTCCGTAATTGGCTGACATGCGATATATAGTGATAAAAATATTTAAAAACAATTGAACAAGGACATACAGGGGATATAGAATGACCAACTATGGTCAAACTCAAATTCTCATAATAACCAAAAATATAATTCAAGACAAGGAAACAGAACATAAAATTATAAATGTTTG